TGCAGTGCAGCCTCTTTATAACGACATCGTCGGGACCAGAAAAAAATGTCCTTATAGCAGGGACGTCAAATGATTTTTGAAAAAAAAACCAACGGAAAATCCATAATTTTGCCTCATGAAAGTCACAACTCTTGTAATTTTGCCTCATGAAACTCACAAGTCACAACTCTTGTTGTATCTTCGCGGAAAGCCTAGACCTAGGCCTCTCTTTATGCTGAACCTCTAAGCGCGGCGGCCGATTGTATAACGCAAACATCCGGTCGGGCTTGCGCAGTGTGTTTTGGGTGGATCAAAAACCTGAACTCGCGTTGAAGAAACAAAAGCCGACGATGAAGAATTCCAACGGATGAAAAACCCCCGGAAAAACCGGACATTTGACATCCCTGTTACAAAGAGTTGTCGTTATTGAGAGGCAACCCAAAATTACTAATGGTATATAAGGAAAAAATCTGGACCTGGGCACCATGTAGTTATACAGAGGATGTCGTTATATCGAAGGCTGTTATAGAGAGGCTGCACTGTAAATAAAACAGCTATGTATGTCAACATCAACAGCACTGTAGAGGAAGGTCTGGAACAGTTGCTTATTCAATGAGCTCCAGCAAGGGTAGGAGACAAAGAAGAAGATTATTGAATGCACTCTGTTAACGACAATTCATAAAATAACCTCAATGATATTTTAAAATGGTGCAAATTTCACTCTCAATCAAATAGCAAACACACCCACACAACAATGGCTACCACAAAGCTCACAAAATGCACGCGCCATCATGTACAACAAGAGGATGAGAACATGTTCTGTATCATAAATCACAAATGCCATTCATCAATAATACGTTGCCAACATATTTGTATTGTTGCTCAAAAATAAAAACACAAAAATTGAGACAAAAATGTTTGAGCCTTCTCGGGTCAGGTGGTGACAGAAATGGTCCTGAAAATATTTATATAATTTGCAAATGAATCAGAAAAACAAAACGAAACATCACCCCCTCCCCCCAATCCCAAGTACACCACTCTCACATCACAAAATGCAATAAAAACTTTAAAAATAAACATAACGGAACAAATTCATTACTTGACTGTAAAACCTGGTTTAAAAAATGCTATTTGGAAAATCTTTATCTGTGTGGGACGAAAAAAAGACGCTCTGCTCAACTTAAACGAGATCATCTGTAGGGAAACTTTTATTTCATCTCCACTCAAATTTTGAATCATCAGCTTCATCAATTCAGAGTAGAGAAATCAACCCAAGAAAAACCTCCGTAGACTTAAGAAAGGAGGAGGGGGAAGAGACCCATTTACAGAAAATTGTAAAAGGGGGCTATCTCTAAAAATGCTGTTTTGAGAAAATTGAAGGTAAATTTTTTGCCCCTTGTTCAGTTTCTTAAAAAGAAGAGGAGAGTTTTCTCTATAACCAAACAAATATACACACTAAAGAAACCAAACTTCTCCTATAGGTAGGGCAATGCCCACTTTTGGCGTAGGTCAAGATTTCTGGAAACCCCGAGATCTGGGTTAGCCCGCTTGTCCTTAAAAGCGATCAATTGTAATTGTAAATGTTTAACGTACCAATTGACATAATTTAGGTCACTTACAGAGTGGGCAGGTCAGACCTGGCCTGAGCCGGATACAACGTCCCCTTCAAACAGGCAGAGTCAGATACCTCTATAAAAAAAACAACACAACCTCTCTATATGGAAATTGATCTCCTGTTTTCTGCACATGTGACTGTGACAACAAAATGCTTAGCCACCAAACCACAGACACATGAGCTTAGTGCTGGGGAAGAGCAAAGCAGACAAACGGAAGGAACAGGGGGACAGAATGATCCTACAACTACAACACACTGATGATACCCTCAAACCACTCACCCCATGTGAATCCATTCAGGTAGAAACAAATTATGTACCTCAACTTCAAAAAGCATTTATATAAGCTACATTGTTTTTCAGTTTTAGTAGAAGTTTTATGGCACTTGCAACACAAATAGGTCATTAAAGTGCTGAAGATTAGAGGTGTTATTAGAAGGTAAAAAACACAGAGAAGAGGAGAAGACATGAGGATGACAGATGTTTGATGGGGAAAGAAGGAGAAAATCATACCAGAGCACCCGCCAACCACGCACAAGCTACACAGTTTCAAATTTCTTCGTTTTAGCTAGATTTTCAGTTTCAAGAGGCAGCTTAAATAAAAGAATAAAAAATTAGGGATTTTCTTTTTTCTTTCTTTTGGATAAACCGTGATCATTTAAATCTACATTTGAACTTACAACAACACAAAATAGGCTAAGTGTCAAAGAGGTCAAGGGATACAACAAACAGTATCTATTCTTACCATTCTCAAAGAAGACATATTCTCATCTAAATAATACCAAATCCAAAGCAAGTCTTCACTGCATCAAGAAATAAGACAATACGATGCATTGTCAGGTTCATTTCAAAGGATGAAAAGAGATAGAACAAATCAACATCAAATATTATTATATTTCAACTTCCCTGAGTAACTTAATCCTATGGGCCAGACAAACTTGGGGGCACAACCTCATTCAGCTTCGACATTGTAATATAATAAATAGCATTTGTATAGCGCATATCCCCGCTCAACAGCAGGCTCTATGCGCTTTTCACTATATTATTACCCCAGCAGACCATAGAACACTCCGAAACATTCTCAGCTTCCCGGGAAGCATACAGTGCAAGCAGCTAATTAAGCGCTCAAACACTAACAAACTGAGAAGATCTTTCGCTGTCCATAGCCGGGTACCCATTCCCACCTGGGTGAAGTGAGGAAAATTTGTGTAAAGTGCCTTTCCCAAGGACACAACGTCGGGCCCCTGACGGGATTCGAACCCACGACCTTACAGTTGCGAGTCCGAGAGCCTAACCACTACGCCACCGACACCACAGTAGTAGTAAAAACCACGCTGGATTCCAAAGTGTTCAAGTTCAAATCAAAACGTACATCACACAAATGTCTTCACTTGACCAGGATGATAAATATCTCCACTTGACCTGTTTCAGATCTTGCAACCTTTTGTCATAGGATGGCTAAACTATTAAAAAGAAACCATTACCCCAAAAAATGGGAGGCAGCTCCAATTTGTTAAGGATCTCAGCCATCGAGTCTGCCAACTCTTTGGAACCAATCAGAGATAATATGTATAGGTATCATCACTGCGGCTGAGATGTTCTGCCCATTGTCAAGTTTCTTCTCTATGCTTATGAAACTTTTTACAAGTGAATTTCATTGACAACATTCCTCTAGCACTTTTGTGGAAAAAAAAAAAAAAAAAGAAGATTCACTTTCTGACATCATCATCATCAATGCCTTTCACCCCTGGCAGGGTATAGGCCACATGACAAGCTCCTTCCATTTATCTCTGTCCTGGGCCATCCTTCCTAGCTCTTTCGAACACTTTCTGACATATATAACTATTATAACAAGTCCACTGGCTTGCCTGTCCCAACATCACACAGGATACATCACACTGGCCCGGCAAACACTCTAGTATAGAAAGAGTTTGAAGCTAGACTCTGATAAATCACAATGGAATATTCCACAACAGCATTTACTTCCCTATCACTTGGCAGTGTTAGAAGAGAGAAAAAGAGAACATTTACTTTGCCATGAGCCGACAAAACACCTTTTTTTTTGTCACAGCAGTTTCGAGAAAAAGAGTTTTTTTTGTCAGCGTAACCATTGAAAAAAAGCGTTCTTCCGAAATTTGAATTCAAATTTATTCAATAGCTAGTCACAGTTTCCTTTTGATTTTTTCACACAAGTTGAGTAACTGACCAAGCTTTCGATTTAGCAAATAAAAATGTTGGTGCCAATTTTTTTTAAAAAGGCGTTTGTTTTGTCAGCTTACGACAGCACTGTCATCGTCAACTTCAACGAAGTGACACAAAAAGTGCAAAGTATCTACCAACATCGACAGAAAGAGAATCATCATCATCAAGCACCTCCATCGACGTTAACAAACAAACTTTCTCAGAGGATCGAGAAAACCTGATCAATTAACACACAGACACAATAACACATTACCCACAGGTAGCACGATAGAAGAGAAACACAGCACTTCTATAGGAAAAAAAAGAAAAAGAAAAACCCCTCTTTTTGACAAAACATAAATGCCTCAATAGTGTATTGAGATCAAAACAAAAGGCGAAAGTGTCACAAGCCAAAATCAGCCCTGGACAGAATTGATATGGTCACTAAAGTAAAGGAAAAAACTGTGCCAAAAGTGAACTTGCCTAAGGAAAAGCTCTAAGAAAATTAATCTGATAATTTCTTTTTAAAAAATGAGGTCGTCTTTAAATAACTATACAATGCAGCAAACAGAAAGAATCTACACAATTCAGCCGGTCATAACTGGAGGTACTAAACTTGGGTCAAGTCTAGACATATAGCACGCAGTCCCTTAACCCTATCCGTATGCCCGGAGGTCATTTTGTTCCCTGGGATTGTATACTTCACGTTTTAGAATACTTCTGGTACGAAGATCTTTGAAACTTTCAGTATTTCTCAAAAAAATCATTTTGACAGACTGTTTTGCAAAGTGTACGGATTGGATTAACGAGTAAATTTTTTCCTTGGAAAGAGGGGGCACAGAGTTCCCCCACGTCGTATGGATACGATAGTAAAACACGACGTACGGATAGGGTTAAGGTCCAGGTACACAGTTCAACTGTTTTCAGTTTCAGCGGACTCCATCACCACCTTTTGACAGGAAACTACAAAAACAGGAATGGGAGAGGGGAGGGAATGAAGTTTGGTTTAAAAGAGTGAAAGAGAGAGACTAATCATAATCAGTGGACAGATCCCAGCACTGTCACACTGTTCTAACTATGGCCACTCAACATAACATATCAGTAAATAGGAAACCACAAAACAGGGCCTGGGGAGGGGCAGGGAGGGTTACTGTACAAGAGTCAGAGAGAACTGTCATCAGCTTTATGTTCATATGTAGTAAGTCCCAAATTTTGAGTTGGTTTGGGTTTTTTCATTAATCTCTTTAATTAATTTCATTAATTTTTCTTAATCCCTGGTATACCTGGCGTGCTTTTACTCAAGAAATATTTTGACAAAATTCAATTTCTAAATGTTGAAAAAAGCAAGCAAAGATAGCCAACATAATGCATGTAAATTGTTCAAGGAATGAAACAGTTTTTATATCTCTCCTGAAAAATTTAGCTGTTTGGGCTTAGTAGATGTGAACATGTTGCTGACTGCGTATATCAGTGTTGTTGTGTGTTCCTCTGATGGTGTTTGTCATGTGTTGTATGGTGTATGTCATGTGTAGTGTGTGTGTGTGTGGTGTGTTCCCCTGACGGTGTATGTGACCTCATGTTATGTGTGGTGTGTTCCCCTAACAGTGTATGTAACCTCATGTTATGTGTTCCACTGACGGTGTATGTAACCTCATGTTATGTGTTGTGTGTTCCCCTAACAGTGTATGTAACCTCATGTTATGTGTTGTGTGTTCCCCTAACAGTGTATGTAACCTCATGTTATGTGTTGTGTGTTCCCCTAACAGTTTATGTAACCTCATGTTATGTGTTGTGTGTTCCCCTAACAGTGTATGTAACCTCATGTTACGTGTTGTGTGTTCCCCTAACAGTGTATGTAACCTCATGTTATGTGTTGTGTGTTCCCCTTACGGTGTATGTCATGTGTTGTTGTGTGTTCTCCACAGGACCTGACAGTGTTGCTGTGTGTTTCCCCTGTTGTGCGTTCCCCTGACGATATATGTCATGTGTGTTGTAGTATGTTCCCCCCCAGAGACAGCTGCGACGTGATCAGTCCACCGCCTCCATGTCTGTGTAGCCCAGGTCCGGGCTAGTGTCAATCACAAGATTCCCCCCGCCCAAGTCCTCGTCGTAATCCTCAGGGTCATCGTACCGGTAGTTATCGTCCTCCTCGTCGAGAAGTTTGTCGCCAAACTGTGAGCTGCCGAAGCCACTGCTTCCTTGGAAGCTGCTGTCTGGAGCAGTAGAAGACAAAGACGAAGATGGGAAGCGGTTTTTACTTAATACATGGTCATCCTCGTTATTATCACAGTTGTACACCTCCTTCTCTCTATCCTGCTTCTCCATGGGCTCCACCTCCCCCCTCTCCAGCGGACTCAGCTGCTTGTCCTCCGAACCACTCGAGGACAGAGAAGAGGAGGAGGACAACGACGGGGCGTGGCTGAGCTTGTTGTTGCCCGATGACGATGATGATAACGACACAGACCCCGCCTTCCCGGTCCCCACAACATCTGCATCGCCCCCGCCTCCTCCCACACCGCTCCTTCTCTCCCGCTCACTGTTCAGTTTGTTGTTGCCGCTGTTGTCTGCACAGCCGAGCTCAGATGTCGAAGAAGAACGTTCTTCCTGACGGCGGCGAGATTCGATCGTCACATCGTCATTCACGTTTCTCTGCAGGTCGTTTTTGACGACAGTGGCCCGACTGTTGCCTGGGGTGGGCTGTCTTATCACATGAGAGGGTTCCGACAGAGGCAGGATGAGGTCCACATCACAAGGCTGCAGGGGAGTGGAGGAGGAGGAGGAGGAGGAGGTGTTGTGGTAGCTGGATTCAGCCGCTGCTGCTGCTGCTGCTGAGGAGGAGGAGGGAGTG